TTTGGCCTTTAATTCTTTCCCATGTTTTTTGATTAATGTCGAATATAAACCGATTAAATACCTGATAAAGATTAATATTGATACGTTGCAAGTTCTGTTCTTTGATTGTTTACAGTTGAAGGATGCTTGCTTCATATTACGATTATGAACTGTATGATTTTGAATTTGTTTGTAGGACTGAAATTCTGGTAATTGAAGTTATCCCATTGAGCTAGATCCACCTTGTTGTGTGCTAAAAGTAGCAGCTCTTAGAGTTCTGGTCATGTTGCTTGCAAGAACTAGCATGAACAAAACCTTCATGCTAGTGGCCATGTTTTATGGTGGTATGAAGACGTAACTTGATTTAAATTTGGCGTCTAATGTTCTAGGCGTTTCAGTTTGCAATCTGTACATCATTTAGTCGGTCTTGTAGAATTGATTATATGTTTTTGGAATAAGGAATCTTTCACAAAGCACATTTACCTGTAATTTGGTGAGAAGCACCTCTTTAACATGTATATTACTACATGTTTTAGTCCTGTAGAACTTATGACAGTAAATCAAGATTTACTTAACCCCATGTGTATTTCAAACGATATCGATAATTAAGATTCTCTTCATGTGTTGCTTTGTATGAAAATCTCACTTTATTATGAAAAGAAACGTGGCTAGTATTTCAGATTGAAGGTGGTACGATGTTCATATGGACTTACTTTTAACGCTGTATGTAGCGGCAGCTATTTTTTCATTTTTTTTGGTTCTTTTTATGATCGCTTTGCTTGTTTTGAGCTGTTTTATTGTTATCAGGTAATTTTTTTTAATTGAATTTTTTTAAAAAGAATTTTATATTAATTGAATGAGATAAAAGGAGATATTGGGTAAATGCTTATATATTGCAAATTTGCAAGACGTATGGCCCGTTGAGGAACCCAAAGGCGGCGGTTCTAACTGATCAGGAAATGCATGTAATGAGCCATTTATTGTTTGCGGATGATCTCAAGATATTTGTGACGAACGAGGATATCAAGAAGTCTGTAGCCTAAGAAGTTCAGATGATGTGGTGCAACTGGGACAGTAACACTAGGGTATGCACTTATAAGGTGGCGCTATTGGAAAGAATTCAAGGATATAAGTACCTTAGAATAGTGAAAGACAGGACTAGTGCACCTCCCGTGAAAGCTATAAACTGCGAGCAGAGGTTGGTAAGGACAGAGCATGTAGCCAAACTGCACCAAATGGTAAGAACTTCATCAAGGCAGTAAACCATCACGCCATAAGCTGAATAAGCTATTGCATTCGACTACTCATATAGAACGAATATACTTCACTGAGCACGATATCAAGTAGTTACTAAATAAATACGGATTTCACAAGCAATGTGCATGCGTGGGAAGACTGTACCTGCCAAGGGACGAAGAAGGACATGAACTTTATAGTTTTGAAGAGGAGAGTGAGCGAATACTTTTTCAACTACATAATGTTCTCGTAGATACCGCATTCATATGTGCCAGAAGGGCAGCAATTCTGAAGCAGGAGGAAGCTCATAACATGTACTTGGCAGTTATTGTGCCCCCTGCATGTTAAACCGATAAAACGTAATGAAATGATGAACATTCTTTAACCATTTATATATATTGATTTATTTAGGAGACGTAAACTCATGTGGAAGGACTCAATCAGTTCGTCAAGATTGGTTCCAAAAATGTTAGATTTGACTTTTGATGGTGTAATGCAACAGGTTATTCTTTTCCCTATTAAATATAGTTCAAATTGTATGAGTATGGTTATTAACTTTATTTACTAATTTGTTTGATGAAAAGGAAATCATTTGTTCAATTAAACTGTTTTATTGCATTTCGACAGTATGGTTTTTTTTCTATTGCGAACTTATCAACTTGTTGTTATATCTTCTAATTCCAGTTCAGCATTTACTGCCATCTGAAACGGATGTACCTTTTTTATTTTCAGTGTGCAGTCTGTTATTGGGGATTATTATACGTCCTTGTAATCGAACCCGTCATACGTATCTATTATTGTAGTGAACTATTCTTTTGCTTTTAGATCGATATAGATCGAGTGGTAAGTCGTCGTCAAGAAAGGAAAGCTGAATCTGTTGGAGGCATCATGGATAAAGAAAATTTCACACGTTCATTAGAACAAATTGATAATGATACCGCAACAGTGCTTGCTGTGGATCAGTTGTTGGATACTTCATTTCTAATATCTGATGAAGAACTTGCGTGTTATGTCCCACCTATTGATATGGAAATTGTCGCTGTTCGAAGAGACCACGTCTAATCGATTGACTCCTGTTTTTTCGCTAAATTTTTCATGAACACCGCAAGTTCAAATGTAGTCTCTGTATTTAATGATTATTGCAATATAATACTAGAGTAAAGTTTCCAGATCTCGGCAATTTAAAGGTGGTGTGCTCACAATTCTAACGCAGTATCCCACCACGCTTATCTGATTTTTCGACTTCTGTGTTCATTACGAACTCATTGATGTGACATATTAGACTTCTAATGTTTTTGCTCATGAATCTTTAGAAGCCTTAATAATATTCGTGACCGACTCAGAAGTCTATCACACTTCAACAGTATGGTTTTCCCCTATTTCGAAAGTTATCAACATATTGCATTGTCTTCTACTTCCAGTTTAACATTAAAAATTTTTTGTAAACAGATGTTCTTTTAATTTCAGCGTGCATTCTGTCATCACTGATTATCATATGTCTTTCAAATCGAACGCTCGCAAACATTTATTTTTTTCAGTGAATTAATCCTTTAGTTTTATAAAAGTTGATTTTCATAGCCTGTTACATACCGAATGCTAAATAGATTTAAGTAGATATACGCATTTGGTTGAAGAATGTTTATCATTTCATTATTGTTTAGTTGGTTTAATATGTAGATAACTGAAAATACATCTGCTAAGAAAAGCATACCTAGATAGGAGCGTTAATGATGAATCCCAAACTGCCGCAGAAGAATTAAGGAGTCTCCAAGTCGTGAGTCATGAAAACTGTTTATCACTGACTGTTCTAATTAATAGCAAGTACAGTACTTATAAAATTTCTTCTACAGTACTTTTTATTTGGGTGCTGTCTCACTCAATAATTCCAACTCACTGAATTCGCTCGTCAAAGTTCTCTCATTTTCTAAGACGAAACAAACAAGTTACAGGTACGAATAAATCTAATAGACAAAATCATTACGGAACGACCATCACACAAACGACTAAAGCATCAGAGCCGAAAGATCTCATGAATTTCAGTTTTGATTCTATCAATTATTTTATGTCTAATTAAAAGCAAAATCATGAAGGAATTTTATGTTTCTGTTGCAAATTATGAAACTGACATTCAAAATGTTACCAGAGAAACAGGTTAACACAATAAAGCATTTTTCACATGTACTTTACTTTTAATACAACTGGATCGTTTAACAAGAAGATTTGTTACATCTTGATGAATGAGCAGTCTTATCTTGTTTTACACAAACAACAACAGAAACAAAAACGACTTTTCAAAAGCTTGAGCATGGTGCATGGTATTTTCATGTTTTATTTTGCGAACAAATATATATCAAACAACCATGGAACTACTCTACGACCGAAAATTCTTATCCAGTGTTCATTTATCACTGGAATTTCATTCAGGAATAGCGGAACATATTTATCAAATACACTTCAAGTTAATTGCTTTTCAGCTGTTGCATATTTAGATATCTTAGTTCTAAGCAAATATTGACACATAGACCTCGGTGTGATTCCACTTACAGCTTCTAATTCTAACTTATTCCCGTATTTGTACATTAATTCTACCTTAAAGAAAAGAAAAATAGAAAACAGCAACAAACAAAACCAGTTACAGAGATGTGTCAATGCAAACGGGAACACATAACACATTTTTGGAAATGTATTTCATGCATCAAAATTCAGTTGATGGAGAATATGGAAAATCAAAAATCTTTATGAAAGCTCATACAAACTAACTTCTTCTAAAAGTGCTTCATTTTTTACAACGGCAATTCTGCTCCATAATTTGCTTAATTTTGCCCATTCACGTTGTTGGAGAGGGAGAAACTGTGCAATGTTGATGACAAATCTGAACAATGTCGTTTGAAAATAAAAAAATAAAGAAAATAACACTTACAAAAGATCGAAAAGCTTACTTTGAAGTTCTTAAAATGCGACTTACTTCGGTAATTTGTTTCGTGACAAACCGATCCACTCAAAACCAGGTAATTTAAGATTTTTAGAGTCATGTATTTTGTTTTGACTGCCGTATTTATATGTCATAGCGATTTCAATGCATGAAAAAAACAACGTAGGTGCTGATAAGTTTCTTGATAATAAAATATGAGAAATTAAATATCTTTGAAGCAGTAAAACAATATTTTGTAAGTCAAGTACCATGTGGATCACAATCCAACAATCCAAAAACTTCTAGATGACCAAGCTTGCTTAACAGTATTCGAGTGGCAATATCTGGATAACCTTTGCCCTAAAAAATGAAAAATTAGCAAAAAAACAATTTTCAAAACCCTCACTGACCGTAACAAGAATAGCATGAGGGAAGAGCTCGAGAAATTCTTCATTGATAAGCTTTTGAAACGTCGCGTCTTTTTCTACCACCAAAATGCACTGTGCAGTAGTAGTTATATTCACACCGGAAAAATCTTCAATGATCGTAGATTGCAATGAACAATCTACTATTCCCGTATCTTTATGGATTTTCAATGGACCGATAACAAGTCCATGACCAGATGCCATCTGAAATCGTACTGCTCATAATTCAATTGATGAAATATTATAGTAGTTCTCAAAGTCACAAGCATGAGTCATGAATGATTGCGCATATTTCGGAGAATTCATGACATCCTGGACTTGACGCTGTTGATTTTAATCAAAGAAACAAAAAAGAACTTTTTCAAAAGCTGGAGCATGATGCATAATATTTTCATGTTTTATTTTGTGAACAAATACGTATGAAATAACCATGGAACTACTTTACAACGGAAAATACTTTAAAAGCTAAAATGCTTATTTAGAAGTATGCTTAACTCACAACGTATCCTGCGCTTGCATCTACTCCAAGCCAATCATGAATTCGCTGGATGGAATTATTAAAATTTCTTTGCTCTCCGAACAAAAGTTTTTGCTCATAAAAAAGGTCGCTAAAATCGCCTATATCGTTTAAAATAAAGAATGTTTATAAAAATCTCAAGCAGTGAAAAAGTGGACTGACAAATTTGTAAATGAAGCTGACATAAAATTTAAAAAATTAGAAAAAATCGTCATCTCCTTATAACTTAATGAAGCATTTGCAAAAATTACCGATTATGTACTAAATATTATCGATGACTTTTCAAAAATTATTTACCGTTTCGTTTTTCGACATCCAGACACTCGTAACTGATATATCATTGCAACTGCTCGTAACATTTGGGCAACAGATCGACAACTTTTTATTGTTAATTTCAACTCTTTTGACTGTCTTTTATTAATTTCACTGAAGTTTTCATAGTAATTTTGGTTTAGTCTCTTGTAAAACTACTGAGACAATTGTCATAAATATAGACGCCAAAACTAGTCTAAGATTCTTCATCATTATTCTCATGGGTGTTCTAAAATTGCTGTCTAAATTACTACTGATAAATAATGAGTGCAAGAAAACCATACTATGGATTAGATAATACAACAAAGCTATCATGCTGTTCGTCGATTTTTACCAGTGATTTTAAAAACTCCATACAACAATCATCGATAACATCTAGTACATAATCACTTGTTGTACAATTTCCAACCAAATTTGATGTTGTATTGAATTTAGACATAACTAAAAGTGATATAAATTATAAAATGAAAACTCGCTATTTCTATCACAAACAATAGTCTCGAGAAATATGGAAACCTTTTCCACGTGCAATAACACAATACAACTACGAAAAAACAATCTAATCAAACATTCTCTTCGGTACAGAGTTGATTACTTAGCAACAACAATAATCATATCGTCTTTGATAAGTTGTTTCACATAATAAAAAATCATCTGAGATTACTTAAAAATGAAAATATGGAAACAAGACAGAAGCATTAGTACTATAAAATTAAAAAATTCCTCTATCACTTGCCAAACAATTTACTGGCCTTTCACAAATCCTACACCCTCCACAATTCATACTCCTTGCTTTCCCGCCTTTACATAGCAATTATTGTTACAACCGAAACTTACAAGATAATATGAAACAAATGGAAATATCTACCACACATCTTAGTATTCTCTCACTCAAACTCTTTGCTTCAGATGCGAGCAGTTCCCCAACTGATGTTACTTTTACAACCTTCTTACTATCATATCTTAATTAATGTACTTACCGATCATGTTTATCCAAGCTATGCCACAACTTCTTTATCCATGTTACCAAATACCCAATTTTAGAACTACATTCGTAAACACCCCGTGTAGGTTGACGACTCCTCTACTGCCCATTCCTTCCAGTACTATATAATGCCATAAAATGACCATTATATTCTTCAACCACACTCTTTCAGGTCGTTTGAACAAAAAACAATTGAAACTCATAGAACTTGATGAAATCAAGATGACACTAGTGAACGCGTAATGCCCGTTCACAAACCCCACTGATATTGCTAGCTTACTATCTTTAAATTGTAATTTTTTGTAATATAAAAGCCATTTTGCATTTTAGGCGCAAAATTCGTAATATGAAAGAATATTCATTTGAGATTAACTTTTTTGCTCCACCTCTTCATAAAAATAATAAAAAGCATGAAAGATTGATTTCTTTTATAAGACAGCAAAAGACTAAGGCAACAATAAATATAATTTACTACACAAAATTAAGCCGAAACATCTTTATGAAAAAAATGCTTGCAGAGACAAAATAACAGTAGCTACTAAGATGAGAACAAGTTTTTTATCGCAATGTTTCTTCGAATTGCATTAGATGATCCTTGGTTGTAATGAAAAACAATTCTACTACCAAGCCCATTAGATTTGATCTTGTTTACTATTTTTTCGGGTAAATCTTCAATAGCTTTTTTCTGTAAATCATCAACGCCTCGCAACTTCTCTAATTCAATCTAAAAATGATTTAAAAAGTCTAAAATTAATTAACACTTAACAAATATAAGTGGACAAATTTACAGAGCTGAAATTAACAGGTGATAAATTCGATCAGGCTGCAATACTACACGCTCCAAAAATGTTATACGCCAAGAAAATTCAACCTCGTGAGCAATTATTTGCCTTGTGGTATTGGACAATGTATTCAGAGATGCACTTTTGTTGTCGTCCACAAAATTAAGTAAATGATCAATTGGACTGAAACATCACATAATTTAGTTTTTATTGAGTGAACGAGTCAATCAGTATTCAGTAGAATGAAAACTTACGGCTCGAAAACAAAATTGTTTGTTCCATTTAAAGTATAAGTGAGTGAATAAGCACGCATGATATCGACAGTATACCGCAAAATATTTAACTCTCGGACGTTGTACAACTGAACATTTGCCTGTAAAGCAAAAATCAATAGAGAATGTTCCAGGTAGTTACTAGAACATTAGTTCATTAAATTTCCAGAAATGGACTTCTCCAATCGCATTAAAAAAAACATATTCGATCTTTTAAAAAATGACTTCAAACAATGCCATATATATGACAGAAAAAGAATGCTATTAATGAAAAACGGTCCAGTCACAAAATATTACTATAATAATAAGTAGAAACTAACTGGCTTCAAATCAGGTTGAATAACACGGATGAGATACGGAAGACTTTCAAGTACAAACGATGTTAATGAAATATTCCTTTGTATTGCACCAGCTCGAACAGTTTCAACGATTTCAACAGACTGGTGATACCGTTGTACTGCATTCTGGAATATGATATTGTTTTTTGAGTCTCTAATCAGAATGTAAATATTTTTAAAAAAGAAGACAATCTTTATGGAAATGTAGAACTACCTGATATTCGCCAGGAAAAGTTAGCTGCATTTTATCTTTGCTGCAAAGAAGTAAATGCAAACCGACGCAAACCACAGACAAATATTTCAATAAATTGTAATCTTGAGAGGAATTTATGGTAGTAGATATCCAGTCATAATAACATAGCAAGCGAACAGCTAATGCAGCCTAAAAACACAAATTAATAATCTATCACGCTAAAAAATTAATGATAAGAACGACTTGAGCCCTCTGCAAACTCAAAACTATCTTCAAACACGAAATATAATCCAAAAATCAATCCAGTAGGATTGAAGTTCAAACGATGTAAAATCTACAATACAAAGCTCGAGTCCTGATATAGTAATAACTCATATTTTTATTCTCGACTTCTCAATACATTTACTTGATGCCTACAAAAACTATTAAAATAAATAATTTACGGATTCAAACCAAATTAGTATTAAATGTTGTTCATTAAGATAATTACATTCATTAAGTACGCATTTTTGCTCTTCAAATAATTCGTGAAAAGCCCCATATAAAAAAGATCTGCTTCATTTCCATGGAATTCAGAGACAAATTCGATTTTCCTAACACGTAAAGCTGCATTCTGAATTTGCCCATTTACATCCAAATGTCGAGAAATTTCGAAGACCAAAGCCCATGAATCAAATAACGTTTTATCACCAAAGTGTTTTTCACGTTCTAAAAACTGCAAGAAAATCAATGTCAGAGTATATGAGCCTGATTCTGTATTTCAAAAAACCGGCAAAAATATAAGAGGAATATTTTGAACTATGGTAAGTGAAAAGAAAAGCTTATAAATTTAGTTTCATTTCAACCAACTCGTGATTCCAATAGCAAAAAAATATACTTCACGAATAGTTTTCCGAGTGACTGAAACACAATTTTCCATTGCAGTGAACTGCAAAGCATTAATTGAAGAACGAAGATCCTGTGAACATGCCCTGATAATTTCTGATATGGCGCCCGACTCAACTTTAAGGCACTCTGATTTTGATATCTAGAAGATACTACACTGGGCATGTTGGTAAATATATAAACACAATAGTTTAAGAAAATAGAAATCATGATCATCGATATTTTGTGCTCAACATTTTAAGAATCTTTTCAATTACAAACTATTCTTAACAATGTCCATCTCAAAATTATTTCTTGTTCCATCTTCCAAGAGATTTTTCATGTTTCGCTGTTATATAAGCAATAAAGAATAAAACGTTTTTTATAATGATCAAAACTAATACTATCGTACATCAAAATAAGGAAGAATATCTTATTTAAAAAATATTCAGTCTCGTAATGAGATGGAGTGCTTACAATGAAACTGACATATTTTGGATGAAATGATGACGAACTCATTTAATTACAGTTAGATAAAGACAAATCTACAAGAAAATTACTTGTTCAAGTCTCTCAGTCAAACGTTTGCCATTAATTCTAGATAACTGCAGCACTAAAGCAATCGATCGCAATTCGCGCAACGCCGGAGTATAGCTACAAAACAAACTATATCAGAATCGAATAAAAAAATAATGAAATAAAATACATGCATACGATACATAGACTAACAGATTGTTACAGATGCATATTACAGGTCGTCGAAGCGAACGTCTCCCAGTAGCAGTAACAGCCTTATACAAATAATGGATAGACTGTGCAGGTGCACCATCAATTTCATCCAAAATAAGACAGTTCGGTTTGCAATCCTACAAAGCAGTTTAAAAAATTCTTAATGAAACATTTTTCATACAAGCAGAAAAGATAAAAAAACTTACTATGCATAAAGTTTTCGTGACTGTTAAAGCATCCACAAAACATTTTTCAAAATCTGCTATATTTCGTTCATCACTGAAAAGAGCTTTTTTACATAACAAGTAAGAATAGACGAATCAAAGAAACTGGTACTGAGAACAGAATCGCTAAAACAATCAGCACAAGATAGCTCGAGACTTCCGAAAAAGTAATTTAAAGTTTAAAAAACAAAAAAAATTTAAAAATAGCAAAATACTTTGGATTCTGAAGAGATAAAAAAGGAGAATGCAAGAAACATCAATAATACCTAGCATTCAAACCAACAACTTGATAACCGGCATGGTGTGCCACTATAGATGCCAAAGTACTTTTGCCTGTGCCAGCAGGTCCAACAATTAGCACTACCTCAAGTTTTCGCAAACCATTACTTCCAAAAAAGAAAAAAATTATTAACAGTATATTTTGAATATTTAAAAAAGCACGTGCTTTGTGAAGAGGGCGCCTCGGTCTTTCATCACTCAGAAGAGGCTGCTGGTTACGTGGACCATATTTCATAATAGCATCTGAAATCGTTCGTTGAAAGACGCATTCATCCCACATTCTCATCCAATTCAACAACATACGATTTATGGCCTGAATGAGTTAGATGAAAACGACTGAAATTTCCGACTGCAAAGTTTGAAATTAATAAAAATTATAATTCAATGATTATTACATGCGAAAAACTTAAAGCACCTCATCGCTAATCAAATCAGCATAGGAATTAGGTGCATATTTTTCGACCCACAGATTATCTTCAGAAAATGAAGGTCTGTTATTTATGTCTTCAGAATAAACTGAATCAGAAACGCCGAAATCAAGTCCAGCATTTAAAACTTTTTCTGTGAAGCCCAACTTTAATGAATCAGTATAAGTTTCATCGTTACTAACATCAACTGTTTGTCCCACAGTTCGCAACTTTATGTAATATCTGCAAAATCTTCCAATACAAATAATGTTTACTTAGTAGATACTACCGATAATGACTTAAAAGGTTTAATACATAGATCCTTTAAACGTATTATTACAATATTATAAAAAATTTCATTCTCAATATAAACTTGACTTGCACTTAAAAACAACTCTCACCGGTGCAAGAGTGATGGGTCAGTGAAACCAATCCAAGGTACATCCCCACTAGGAGGATACTGCGTCACTCCTCCTTCTTTTGGTTTAGAAATATTATTAGCAGCTTCTTCTTCATCTACACCTAAATCTGTCAAACGCCGCCTCTTGCGAGCCTGTAAATTTTTGGATTGTCAGAAATAAATAACATAATTGAGGAAGCAAATCACTCACGCTGCATAAACAATATTTTTATTTTAAAAAGCAGTAACTGCATATTTTTGCTTTTTTCAGCTATATATTTTTAGAAAACATGAAATAAATCAATACTCCCCCACGATATGCGTCGTACAAGACGTTCCACAACACTTTTGTTAAGTGCATCTCGGAGCGAATCATTATTTTCTTCGAAATGATCACACTTTACACGCATGTGCCAATCTGTTAATTTGCAAAAGAACTCATTTGATGATGTTATTTCAAGTCAAGCTCACTTTTGTAGAAAATAAAATGTACCTTCTAAATAAATTCATTTGCAAGAAAAAGACATGATAAAATGTTATTCACTTAACACAACTAAGCAAGCAATATATTAAAATTAGAGACTTTTAAACAATCATCAATTTCATCACAACGTATTCCTTCATATAAACACTACGATAAAAAATAAATAAAAACAGACATAAAGCATACCACACGCATCATTCCACTCATCAGTTTCTCGTAATCGTTTTGACGGTTGCCTATGAACATTGTTTAAGACATTGAAAACATTAGCTTCTGCATCAGTCAGTACACCTTCCGCTCTGAAAACACTTTTCGATAAGACAATTTGCAGTTCTATGGAGTTCGTAAAACAACAGAAAACTAACCCATACTCTGTGCCATCATCTCCAAAAGAAGTATCTATCACGTTGAAATTGTCCGAGTCCATCAGACTAATCCTAAATTGTACTTCCTTAAAATGCTAAGTAGCATCATTAACAAATCGAGACCACATCCTTTACTGTAACACACAATGCTAAGGACTTGCATCATCTACACTTAGCTTTCACTTCCAACTGATAAAATGAATGGACTTTCACCAGCGCGAAGAAAAAATCATTGACAGAATAAGGGATGCTGTATTGTTCCATAACCACTCACACATCAGCGTGTAGTTTGCTTCATATATAGGTCATTTATTTCTCAAAATTACATATCTGCAGAAAATATATCAATGTAATTAAACCAAATAATAAAGAAAAATGAACAGACCAACATAAAATTCTGCAATGAATGTAACATAAGTCACAGCAAGCATAAAAATGTCATAGAGCCAACAGAATTTTCCCTTTTCTTTACTAACATCAAAGAAGCAATGTGAAGATATGACAGATAAATTCAAAGTAAAAATATGGATGTAAAATGAATTCAGAATTACAGCACAGAATGACTGAAAAATAAAGAATTCAAAATTAAAATCCGCAACAATAATTTGACCAGGACAATGGATAAGAACAAATTTACCAGTCAGATACATAACACTATTAAAGTAGTTTGCATAACCCAATATGCATGGAATATATCTTCTGCCCGCAAAAGCTCCGAAACAATTCATAAATAGTACTACTCCACACAAATATCTCTATAATCATGTAACAATAAAAGTAATAGTAAAATATCTACTAAACAATAAATGCTTAGAAGATCTGGACTAAATTAAATTGCTACTGGTGGTTATTTTCTTAGTAATAAATTAAAAACAAATGAAAAATATAAGAATGACAACGATACAGAAGTAGAAACCGAGAACATTGCGTGTGGTTTAACTATTACTTGAATAATACTTATAAACATCAATCCATAAATGAAACATGCCACTGTACACATCAGATAACAATCACAAATGAATTAATGTTTCTATGCTTACTACTTCTACCAATCGTAATAAAGATTTCATGAATCATATGAATGTTTTGGGTCCACAACAGCAAGAAAAATCATGAAAAATCCAACACAGTATTAAATACATTACAAAATCGAATATAGCATTAGTTACATCTAAAAAGAACAGAAAAAAACAGTACAGCATTAATCAGCTACATTACGAAAATTGTATATATTAAGGGAACTTAACGAATGCTTGAATAAATTCTTCCCAACAAAACTCAAGTACGTTGGCAAAAGCACAATAAGATACCGCTAACCTCTTCTCGACAGTAAACATACTACTTATGTTTAAATAGCACAACTGTAGCGCTCGTAACACTAACCTAGTATTTGCATTTATCACAGAGGAGTGTAAATGACACGTGCTATAAATGGAATCATTTCATACAAACATATAAGGCATGAAATGGTGCCTAAATCTAAGACAAGCTAAAAAATGAAGAAAAAAAACTAATACAAAACGATAAGTAACCGCGTAGAATTCTTGAATTAAAGGTAACAAACTTCGTCTTTATAAAATGAAAAATGGAAATCAGCGTAAAGAAAAAGAAAGGATATTAACTGTTACGATATGACTGAAAACAAAAAAATTAGAGTCCACTAGCGATGATTCTGAACGTATCCAGTGAAGCCTTAATTTTAGTACTGAGAATGTTGATTGTCCTTGAAATATATGACATAGAATGAAACAAAAAGAAGCGAAGAGCACAAAAGTTTTGAAATAAAGATAATTTTAAATAATAGGTAAGTTACATGCGGCAAATTACCTTCGAACAATCAAATGATAAAATGATACCAGAAAGTGATACCAATAACTTTGAACAAATTTACATTTGCTCATTGTCAAGGTGGAGATCACTGAGCAAATGTTTCTTGAGACTTTAGATAACAACAGAAAAAGTGGTGCAAAATAAAAAGCAAAATTACATTAAAAAATCGTATGTGCTTAACGCAGTCATTAATTGTAGAGCTTGCTACTGTTGACGATCAAGAGCTCTTTTTAATGATGAGAGCTCGTTAAATATCACTTGTGCCTACCATAATCATTTGATTACCGATACTCATTACCAACATGTCGTAATCCACGATTTCCTCCACCACCACGTCCACCACCTGAACCATTTCGCAAACCAAATCCATTACGTGACGTACCTACATAACATACTATAGTAACTTCTAAATCTCAAGACAACAAACACAAAAAGTCAAGCAACTTAAAAATTTTGAGTAATAGTATAATGGTAAACAATGCGGAACCTCTATGGATGAACGGAGTGCGGGAGTTCACTTGCCCACTTCTCTGTTCTGAGAGAACAGCTTCTCCATCAAATCCAATAGAATCGATTTTCAGATGTATGAAAAAAAGAGACCGTTCCTAGAAGTTGACCAAATGGAGATATTTTTAACTATTTTAAAGATTGAAACTAAACTGTTGCGAAATTCAAACATTTTGCAACACTAAATTTTTATATTAATATTAAAGAATATACTCTCAAAAACCTTTCTGGCAGCACTGAAAGCGTTTTTCGCTCCTTCTGCATTTTTCATGATCACGAAAGCAAAAATGGTCCGCTGGAGATCAGCATCTAGAGCGCGACGAGGAACATTTACTGCGGCAACAGGTCCATATTCTTTAAGAAATAAAGGAAGTAAATGCGTATCTTTGTTTCAAATAATCAACAATTTTTTAGTATCATATAAAATAAACTCACTCTCAAATTCGAAGCGAATATCTGCTTCAACTACTAATGTATTTTCTGGAATCATATTACGTGATATACCACCAACGTGAAGTCGAACATAATCATCGTCTACAAATACCATAACAGTAAAAATAATACTATTCTGTTTAACAATTTTACTTATTAATAACTTTACTTACTATCATCTCTGTGAATAACTGAGTTACTCTGAACAGATATTTCATTGTCCCTTGGAACCACATGTAAACGCACTTGAGATGGCACTTGGTTCATATTATGCACATGAGTAGCAGCGGCGGTTGTAGATGTTTGACTACTTCCAACTAATTTAGCCCATGTCTTAGGGGTTGAATCAATTGCAGCTGGGTTAAAATTCTGAGTCTGGAAGTGAGTTCATCATGATTTTGGTCATCAATTTAAACAAAAATATTTTTACTGAAAAGCAGAACATGGAAGTTCGAACTTGTACCACATTTTACCTGTGTTTCTTCTGCCACACTGTCGTTAGACTTACTACTAGTTATGTTGTTATACTGATGATCAACAGCATGAGTAACGCTTTCGGTGGACTCTGAAGTCAGCTCGACATTTTGTTCTTTTTCTGAATTGTTTGATGACTGCTCAACAGTCTCAATGACTGAAAATTGGTACCAACAATAGAGAACGATTTGAATTTTTTAGCTTATAATAGAAGCCAAATTTACATGATGTTTCATGCTTACTGTTTTCGAATGTAGGTTCAACATCAATGAGCCCATCTACGATACTAGTTTCACCATTTGTCAACGTTTTTGCCTCGGATGCCATCTGGGTTTCAACGTCTGCAGAATTATTAAAAATCAGCCCTTAAAATCGTATACAAAAATTTGAGATGCATTTACCACGCTTGACAGATAATAAATACAAGCATGCAAACCCTGTTTCTCTGACTGAGTGCAACTGTCACCAAAAGCTCGATCAAGCCACTGGAACACATTGTTGTGTACATAGTATTTCTTAGGAGTCTGAGGACACAGGATAAATGTTTGCAGAAAGCGCCTTCCCGGGTTATTTCCAATTGAAAGTTCACCACAGACCTTCAAAATTCAACAGACATCAATTAACAAAATTTCAAAAAACCCAAAAATTTTGGAATGTTGAATATTATCGACTTCCATATTTTGAAATGCCAGCTGCATAAAAATTACATGCAACTCACCTGTATAACCAAACCATTGTTTAATGTAGCAGTGCCACTCACAGTATAAATTCGAGCTTTGCAATCAACAAAAGCCAATCGTTCAATTGCTTTTTGTATTTTCTGAAAACTAACAGTTCATCAACTATATATGTGACATTTTTTCCATATAAAGAAAAAACATTTATTCATCACAAAATGAATAGCAATAACCTCTTGTCCTTGAACAGGTTGTTCCGTATCATGAATAAAATATGACTCATGACTATAAAAACGGAAAACATCGCACGGTCTTTCTGACAGCATCGTGTAGTACTGCCGAACGAATTCACGTCCAATTTCTGGAGATGCAAAATATGCGCCCCATCAAGACAGAGAAATATATAAAAGTGCATTTTATGAAGAGCGAAATCGACAGTCTCTATCATCACATATCAGACATCAAGCATAATAATTCATATCTGGTAAAAACAGCATAATTTTGTTCGAATTCTTATAGAAATAACATACCAAATGAAAATGAAGTAGGAACGACACATAACGCTGTATAGGAAGGAAGGATATTTAAATATGCAAAATCCTTGGTAAAAAATGAAGCTATATCAGACCTTTCGGCGATGGCTGTGATGCTTTTACAGCTTCATCTGCATGGCCACTTACGATTTCACCGACTCCCTCCATCTTCATATCGAATACCAACGATCGCCAACAGAAGAGTCTTGAACGCTGTAATTAATTCTGAGTTTTCATTTCTTAAAAAAATTGACATATTAAAAGAATGACTTATAAGCAATCAAGAATCCCTAGATTCAAATAAGAATCTTCTGTAAAAAAATAAGAAAAAAATTAAGAGAATTTAGTGCGCACAGATCGTGGAGATAAACCTTGCAAATAAGTCACAGAGAGAAATTTCAAAGTTTATACAAAAAGTGTAGAGCCACTTTAAATACCCCACATGAGGCACAAAATGAAGAACATATAAACAAAGTATTTATTACATTTATTGAAAACCTGATATTGTCAGATTCATAAAATGATCTTTTACACTATATTTAGGCTCAATATACATACATTCAACAAATTACTCACGAAAGCAAAGCAAACTTCATCACTGCAATTGTTATTTACTTGAAAAGTATTGCAAAGCATTTTGATACATGAAGTTATTTTAAAACTGCACTAAACTTTCTTTATTTAAAACCAAAATAAAGTAAGCTATGCGCATACACTTCACTGTAATAATTCTTCCTGTCATCAATTGAAATTCGATCATTATCACTTTCCCATATAAAAAATGACTCCATCACATGTGCAATCAACAAATAATAAACATGGTGCAGAAAGGAAAATGAGACAGAGTGCAAGTATCTAAAGCAGATTAACATTAACGATGCAAGTTCAAGATTTAATACGCCAAAGAACTACAATACTCTCCCATCAAAAACCAGCCAGTGTAGCTACCTTTCTTAAATTAAATCAGACAGCACCACAGAATCACACATTCGGTATCTCTTTTCACTAAATTACTACCAACCACATCACTACCAACAACACAGACAACTTCATGTGTCAAAAGCATAATTGTTGCATGCAAGTGTTCCTGACTGCAACTTGCGGCCCACTCCTAAAATTACGGTTGTAACAGTATGCACAGCCAAATCCCTCACGCTTCTTCCGTGCTGGACGTAAGCAAAATGTATTCCCATCTGGTATAAATCAAACGAATGAAAACAAATTTTAATTTGATTACCACCAGTAGTTACTGTCTGTTTCGTAATACTGTAATCTACTGTAAAGCCTTCAAGTGACATCATCTAAAATTCTAGAAGCAGTTTTCAGACAGATTAGGTTGTGCAAATTTACTAGATATAACACATGCCTACAAGAAGTAAATAATGGGATTTTGAAAGTTTGACATGTTCCTTTTTTAATTTGCTCACTGTACTCTACTGCAATAATACTAAGTGCATTACTGTGAGCTTGTATCATAATTCGTTTTATTTTCTTAGCCATCACACATTCTACAAATACTCTTGCACACTCTTAGATTTTTATAAGCATTACGTAACTGATGCTAAGAATTACAAGTTTACATGAGATAATGTAGTAGTATTGTCATTACAAATGTTACAAAATGTATTACAAAATGCAGTTGAATAGCAACACCGTTCTACACTACATGATCTTTCCATATACTACGAAGTAAACCAACTCCTTACAGCTACGATCATTCCTCAAACAGACAGTTCACCCCGACATTGTAACATAATTTTATAAAAATTTAGTTTGCAACTTGATTTCAAACCTCAAAGATTTTTAAAATCATAGCATACTGTCTCAGTCTCCAAAGACACTTTTAAAGACTGCTTGCAAATCTCGTTATCTCATTCCATGATCTTCCATGTGCTTTTCCTAACCTCACGTATTACTTCGTCAGCACCTTCATATCAGTGCACTTTGCTGTTTAAGGGAATCACTGTTTCATCAATTTTATTTATTTGATTGTTGCTGTGATAAATGTGAATAAATTACCATTATTTTAGACAGTCGTTTTGTTTATATTGTCATGAAATCATATTATAGTGCATTTTACTCTTGAACTGTGTTTTGTTTTCTTTTGTTTTACTGCTTATAATTCTAGAAATTAAATTGCTTATCGAGAACAAGAAATTGAAGATGTTTTCTTCAAAAATTTTTTTTCAAAAACGTATTTGACTTCTCTGTCATTGAAATAGTTATGTGGAATCGCTGATTGTCTTACTTGTGATCAACCATAATATATTGTCTGTATTACCATAAAATTATATCTATTATACATTTAAATTGAAAAAAGTCACAAGCCATATTTATTTTCTTTTTAGTGATGCGGTGTCCATACGCTATTTTCACTGCTTGTTCACAGTCATATGCATTCGATGAAAGGCGTTTCACTGTTCCAAACTCAGAAGAAGAAGCGATAAAAATAGGACGAGCAGTTGGACGGTGGAAGCCTAGCTCAGAAAATACTATTTTTGATTGCAAGGTTAACGCAAAACAGCAGATTATTAATGATTTGACTTTAATCACTTTTAATCTTTTAGCTTCCAAGTTCTCAATAATTACTGTTTGAATTCCGAAAAAATTTCGTCTTTCATCTTATTTATTGTTTATAAAATAGTGGGAATATTTAAGGTATTGTCCAGAAATCATGCTATTTTGTGGCATGAGGAAGGTTGTTTTTTTCTCAAAGATACAAAAAGTAGCAATGGCACTTTTGTCAATAATGTCAGATTATCGAAAAGTGCAGAAGAAAGCTCACCGCGACAAATTTATTCAGGCGACATATTGCAGTTCGGCATAGAAATTGTAGAAACCGCCAATAAAAGTAATGGTTCTTTGTTTTTCTTTTATAGTTTGCTTTTTTCTTCAAAAATCTTTTTATTCCACAAAAATACAAAGACACGTAGCATATCTTATTTCTTATAAATATACTAATCCATTATTTATAACACCAAGTATTTTCAGTTACTCATGGTTGTATTATGACAATGATACGCCTTTTTGATGCAAATGGCCACGAAGCTTGTCCACCTGATACTTCAGAAATCGGTGGTTATTTGAAAACAGAAGATAGTGATTCCATAATGTATCCCATGGTGGATTCTCACCAGTTGTTCCAGTTACAGCATTATATACGTGAGGCAATGTATCGAGAACATGCACTAGAACAAAAACTTGCTACATTAGGAAATATTCTCTCCGAAACAAAAGAATCAGCGGATTTAAGTTGGCAGGTGAATTCTAGATATCAAATCGAGCTATTAACAACATAAACGAACTACTTAAGAGTGTATTTAAATGTATTATATTGTATAATTTATTGCTTGCTTCGTTTTATGAATCTCTTTAGCGCATGAAATAGATAGGCCCTTGTGCAAAGAGTATTACCTATGAAAAAGTTCCAGATTTCTTGAATTTGTTTTTGTGCATTGCTGATTGTTGTGATGGTAATCCCATTTTTACAGGCATTGATCAGTGAAGATCAATTATTATCACGAATTGAAATGTTAGAGGGGCAGCTTGCTTTGTATTCTAAAAATGCCTTCAGTGAAAAAGTGAAGGAACAGATGAATGAATTATTGGAGGATAAAAACAAATTTGAATTAATTGCAAAAGAATCGTTACGCAGAGCTCAAGAAGAACGATGTGAAGCTTTGCAAAGGCTGGTTGATGTTGAAAAGAGCTTACTTAATGCTGGTAAGGATTTTTGTCAATTAGTGTAGGAAAGCAAACAAAAACTGAATTTTTGTTATTCCCATTATTAAAAAAAAATGATATACATTCTATTTCTATATTTCAGAAGAAGAATCCGCAGTTCTTAAGAAGCGAGTTGTTGAACTTGAAACTAAGCTTACTGTAGCGGTAGATGCTAATAATTCTCTCAAGCAACACGTGTCACAATTAGAAGAACAATTGAAGACGGCTAATTCTAGTTCTTGTTCTCAAGGAAGCAAGAATGTACCGGTACGACCGTTATGAGACTCTATAAATCGCACCATTGTTATCGAAGTACTTAGTCCTAATTTCAGTTTTCAAGCTATTTGACGTTTTCAGGACGTCTCGACCAAAGAACAAATTACAACGGTACATAACGAAATGACAGATGCACAGTTCCAAAATTTGTCACAAGGGGGAAATCGTAAGTCCTATGCTCTAACCTAGCTTTACTTCTTGCCATTAATTTAGTTGATGATGCAATACTTTCAGCTCTTGAACGTTGAGGAAATTTGAAAAATTCGCAATATTTTTCAGGTTATACCATGTTATACTTATGTGACCGGAAAAGTGTAGCATTTGGAATAAATATGGCGCATTATGAATCCGATGGAGATTTCGCTGTAAGTACACAATCTTAAGACCGTTTAATGCTTATTCATGTAGCCGACTTCGGCATTTATTTTTTGACTCAAAATTCAGAAATCCTAGAACGAAAATGTCATCCTGATTTGGATGCAAGAGACATGCTATCATTTCAGGCTTTGTTGTTATGCGCATTACCACTTTTCTCAGCGTTATTGATTATTTATAGTATTGGGGCGGTAATCGTGTCATCTATACTCAACAAAATAAAGAAGGAATAGAACTTTGCTTTGCCTCGTCTTACAGACTCGATGTATTATTTCACTTCTATAAAATAAAACCAGGGAAGATCTCGTCGCACATACGAATTTGCAAAACTGCAGTGATTCGAATCTTTTGTAATGTGTGAATGTAAAATTTTTTCATTTCGTTATTATAGCAGTGTAACTCCTAGTTAGGCACTGTATCATTTTCAGATATTTTTTTTATCTGTCCTAGGCACTTTATAAATATGAAATGCGAACTTTCGGTTTCCAGAAAAGTGTAAAATTCACTCTAAGTCTAAGCTAGAATACATTTAAGTATAGTTCTTGAAATGATAATATTTGATGGATCTCCTCTACGGGGTTTTGTGATGTAATATCAATTGAAGAAGTTTTATAAGATACGCATACAAGAGACTAAAACAAACTTGAGAGATTTCGTCAACTACAAGCATTATATACAAAAATGCTTGGGAAGCAGGAGCAACAAATACTTGCTTGGTATGATCCAATTATATTCACCATATCTGAGTTTCACGGACCTCACTAATTATGTGACTTGCTCTACTTAATGCCTGGAAATGGTTTTTCTGACGGTTATGATTGCTAACAATACAAATGGCGACGTTACGAACAAAGATTGAGAGGAACGGACCTCGAGCATTTCTGCAGCTTCTTTCCTTCTATGTGCCATAGCTGGACTTTCCGTTAACAGTTCCGTGATTATTTCATGCTTGTATAACTGTCGTACAAGTTCACTTTGTAAATTGTCCTATGTAGAAATAAGAGAGTTATTAATTTCAATTACTACGAAAAAAACAGTATCCCACAACTTATTAATCTAAAGAGATAAAAACATACACGAACATAGTTAACCAGGAAATGCATAATAGCTTTGGGTACTGAGTCCTGAACATTCCGTCTTACAATCATGAAGTAGTTTCGAACAAGTCGTTCTGCAAAATCCAAGTTGTTACACAATAATGATAAGAACTATAAGAAAATGCATCATGGGACCGGACATTAAACTGCAAAAATCGAAAACATGATATAAGAGTGTAGTAAGTACATAGTATGCAAGCTATTACCTACTATTTGGCAATCTTTTTGCTCGCGAGCAGTTAATTTCCGAGTAATCGTTTTTTCTGGGACTTCTGGCAAAAAATTTAATGGTTTTTGAGCTGGAAGCAATTAAAGACATTACACAAAGTAGCGATTGAGAATAATTTGTCATTATCGAGTATGACAAAGCACTAAATTGTTTGGGAATTTAAATTGTGTTTCAGGCTCTCATTCACTATGGATACCGAAATTAATGTAAAATATTTCGTCGATAATAAAAGATTAACATTGGCTTAAAACGACTATACTGGTAAAGTATTGTTTTACTAAAAACAAAAACAAGAATTAACTACCATCGATCGTTTTTTTGATTATGATATAAGTTGTTGAAGAGAATTATTGATATTAAAAACGAGTATTATTCAGTTTCTCAGTCTCAAACTCATTTCCTTTGTGAGCACAAGCCATTTCACAAAAAACTCCATTGCCAACACAGTTTATACAAGGGAAAGGAATATATTGAATAACACAGATACACAAATTGAAAAACAAACCTTGCTTAACTTTGAGACAAATTTTTTTCTACAAAATTCTTAAAAAACAACCTGACTGTACTAACTCCTTATTTTTCACGTTCGCACCAAAAAGCCACCCCTTGAAAGTTGATGTTTCGACTAGGTTCTAAAATCTCATTTATAACACTAGACATGATGAAAAATGGCCATTTTTTCAATGCAATTAAGTGTTTAAACACCAGTTTAAATAAGAGAAAATTATGATACGACTTTCCAAATTGGTTTTTCTCATGAAAGTTTCAAAAAATGGTGCTAATTTTAAAAATATTGATCGTTTAGAAACAACACTGACATTTGTAAAAGACTAATATTTCGAAAATTTTTTTAAAGTAGCATTTACTACTTTAAACTTGTATACTGCAATCTAATACTAGAAGTTTTCAAAACTGCTCGTGAACAAGTTAAATTATAGAGCAACGTATGCAGTTTTGCTATATATATATATATATA